TAACATGTATAGCCTATATCAGATTGCATGCCACTTGGAGAGGGGTAAGGCGAAGGAGAGAGTAAAACTTTGGAACTCTAAATCTTCTAAAAGTGAATGTTGAAAACTAAAAATAAATCAAAAAGAACAACCAAAAAAAGGGAAAAGGACTTATATGTACAGATGTATTTATAGCAGTTCCTTTCTGGTGGCAGGGAGTTGTAAACTGGGAGGATGCCCATCAATTGCAGAATGGCTGAACAAATTGTGATATGTGATTATGATGGAATACTATTATGATAAAATAAATGATGAGCAGGATGCTCTCAGAAAAACCTGAAAAGACTTACATGAGCTGATGCAAAGTGAAATGTACTTTGTACAAAGTAATAGCAATATTGTAAGATGATTAGCTATGAATGACTTAGCTATTCTCAGCAATAACAATGATCTAAGATAACTCTGAAGAACTTATGATGAAAAATGCTATCCATCCCCAGATAAAGAACTAATAGTGTCTGAATACAGATTGAAACATACTTTTTTACTTCATTTTTCTTGAGGGCTTTTTGGTCTATGTTTTCTTTCACAACATAATTAATAAGGAAATATGTTTTGAATGACTACACATGTGTAACTTATATAGAATTGCTTGCCTTCTCAATGAGGGGAGTGGGGAGAGAGGAAGAAAGAAAATTTGCAACTCAAAAAAAGATGGCCTGATGTTGAAAAAAATAGCATGTGTTGTAGAGAAATGATTATTATAATGTCCTTGATGATTTGCCTCAAACTATAGCTAGGAAGGCCAAGAATAAAATTAGATCAGAAAAACATGATGAGAGAATATTTTGCCTAGCTGCTCACAGTTTTAAGCCCATGTAAGTATATTAAGTCCAGACAGCTTAGAATTATTATAGCCAGTCGGTTAAAAGCATTTATTAAGTATGTGCCAGCTCAGAGTATGTGCTAAGCTCAGAGAATACAATCCTCCCTCTCTGCCCCCCCAAAAAAGTAGGACATAAAACAGTCTCTGTTTAGTCCTTGGGAAGCTCATGTTCTATCAGGGAAGACAATATGCAAAAATCATATACAGACGAGATATATACAGGATAAATTAGAAGTAACAACTAGCTTAATCACCCTTATTACCTGATAGGAAAGAACAAAAATGTGGGAGATGTAAGTGGACTTACTAATACCCGCCCCCCCCCGAAATTTTCATACGTGTGTTTTCATATGCAAGGAGAAAGGAGAAAAAACTATAAAGGTGTCACTGAAGGGGCAGCTAGGTGGCACATTGGATAGAGTACTGGCCCTGAAGTCAGGAGGACCTGAGTTCAAATCCAGCCTCAGACACTTGATACTTACTAGCTGTGTGACCCTGGGCAAGTCACTTAATCCCATTGCCTACCCCCCCCAAAAAAAAGATGTCACTGAAGTAGGGGAAAACCTGATTGTGATGGTTGCTGATGTTTACATAGCTATAAAACTATAACTTAAAAGAGGAATAGGAATAATTATACTTCTGAAGATGAAGTCAGAATAGTATAATAGTAGCTTCCATTTATATAGCACTTAACATATATTATCTCATTTGATCTCCACAACATATTTTCCAGGGAGATGTTGTCATTATTTCTATTTTGCATAAGAGTAATCTGAGACCAAGAGACAGCTAAATGGCTGAGAGAGGCCTGAGTTCAAATGCAACCTCAGACACTAACTGCGTGACCCTGGGAAAGTCACTTAACCTCTCTGTCTGCCTTGGAGGAAGCTAGGTGTTTCAAAGAAGAGAGTACCGAGCCTGGAAACAGAAGAACCTGAGTTCAAATCTGATCTCAGATACTCACAAGCTGTGTGACCCTGAGCAAGTCACTTAACCTCTGTTTGCCTTAATCCACTGCAGAAGAAAATGGTAAACCACTCCAGCATCTTTGCCAAGAATACAGGGTCACAAAATTTAGGACATGACTGAAAAACTGAACAATAACAAACCAAAACCACAGATGATTAAGTGACCTGTCATACAAATAGTAAACATCGAGAGAGAATTCGAACAGGTTTTTCAGAAGCTAAGTTCAGGACCTTCACCACTATGCTACCTACTTGTCTATAGTAGAAAACACTGAATTAGAAATCAGAAGACCTGGCTCTAGCCTCTACCACATTCTAGCTAAGTGATTTTGACAAGTCATACACTATGAGCCTCAGTTTTCTCATCTATAAAATAGGCATAGCACTACTTGTCCTGTCAACCTCATAGAACTGTTGTGATAATCAAATGAAAAATGATTTAGTAAAGTGTGACGTTCACTCATTCACTCAATCAACAAACATATATTGAGGGCTTATTGTGGGGCAAAGCATTGTGCGGTATACCATGGAGGATATAAGACAGTCTTTTCCCTTAAGGAGCTTACACTGTAGTAGGGGAGATAAATCATGTAAACCAATTATTCTAAAATAGTATGTGGTGGCAGGATAAGAGGATCCCAGAGTTTTATGAGACTTTGGAGGAGGGAGAGATAGCAACAGCAACAATAACAGTAGCTAGCATTTATATTGCATTTTTGAGATTTGTGAAATGCTTCGCCAATATCATCTCCTTTTATTCTCCCAATTATCCTGGGAGGTAGGTGCTATCATTATCCCCATTTTACAGACAAAGAAACTGAGGCAAACAAAGGTTAAGTGAATGGCCCAGGGTCACACAGGTAACATCTAAGGCTGGATTTGAACTCAGAAATATCATGCGTTACTTTAAACTACAGTTAAAATACATCAGGTAATTGTGAGTGAAGCACTGTGATGAAGTCTGTGGTAGAGAATGAGGGAAGCAGAGGCCATTATTTAACAGCGATATCAAGGAAGGCTTCTTGGAGAAAGCATTTGGGTTGGTTGTTTTTTTGAAAGACTAGCAGGAATTCACCAGAGAAAGGAAAGGATGGGCATTCTTGATGTAGGAAACAGTATAAGCAAAGGGACAGAGGCAAGAAAATTCAGACTGGAATAAAGTTGGAGAGAAAAGGTGGTGTCAGACTTGAATGCCAATTTGAACATTACCTAGGCAAGAGGGAGACAGTGAGGAGTTTAGAGTAAGAGAAGATCAGATAAAAAAAATCCATCTATTGGTAGTGCAAACAATGATTAAAAGGTATAAGAGAACGGATGTGGGAACACCTGTTAGGGATCTAATTTATTTGTCCAAACACGTGGTTAATTAGAGCCTATACCAGAGTCTTGACAGTGGGAGTCGAGAAGAGAAGAATATGAACTATCCTGTGGACGTAAACTTGACAGGTCTCAGCAACTGATTAGATACAAGTGTTGAGGGAATGAGGAGTCAAAGATTAAGAACAGGCTTTAAACTCCATGGGCAAGGTGAGTGGTGGTGTCACAGAGAAATAATGAAGTCAGATGGAAAAGCAGGTTGAGGAAGAAATAGCATTTAAAGGTTGATGGGCTAGAAGCATCCAGATAGAAATATCTATGATAGTGAGAAATGTGGCTCTGGAGCTGAGTAAAAAGGCCAGAGTAAAGAGAAACAAATTTGAGAATGACCTAAAACAGAGGTGATAACTGGTAGTGAATAAGATTGTCAAGAAAGAAGGGATGTAAAAAGAAAATAGAAGATCCAATCAATTAATTAAATCAGTAATCATCTTTTAATTAACTTCAAGTCAACAAGCATTTATTAAGTACCTACTATATGCCAGGCACTGTGGTGAGCACCAGAGATAAGTAAGTAAGGCAAAGACAGTCTCTTCCTTCAAGCAGCTCATAAAGGGATGGGGGAGGGAGGATGAGCAATACACAAACACATGAGGTTTATTATTATTATTATTATTGAAACATTGTGAAATACAGCCCAGGTAGGTTCAGCACAAGCTAGGCATCAAAAGAAAATACGTTGTCAAAAAAACCTTCTAGATTGCACCCATTTGATTTCTATCACTCTAATGGCTAAATTAATCTACCACTACCAAAAGCAGGTATATGTTCAACCCTATCAACAAAATACATATGTAGAATACAGTTAGCCTCTGACAATCCACAACTCCCTCAGGAAAGATGCTCTCAGTGATTTATTGGTGCAATAGAATACTGGATGCTTAGCAGGAGAGACCTGATAAAATTATTAGGACATTACCCAGCTAACTCAAAATTATAAACATAGCACACACAAAAATAATTCATTGTAAATAGATCAACTCAATTGTTTCACTTTGGTATGTCTTAAATAGCTAGATTAGTCTATTTCTTTCTAAGGAAGTAATGTACTCAAACCTGCAAACAAGACACTCAAATAGGATATAATTAGAAAGTGACAATCTACAAAATCCCTCAGGAGAGCTCTGATATGTATTGTTGCAGATAACTATCATGTGGGAAATTCACAGGAGGAACCCACTATTATGATAAGGAAGTTACATTGCTAACTAGAAATCATGAACATAGAAGAATATTTAGTGTAATGAGGAACTGGATAGTGGGAGTTCAGCCCTTGAAACATGCCCAGCTGTCTCCACCTGCTAGTGATCTGAGTGGAGGATCGGTAAGTCTTTTTCAGGAAATGCATGATAGCTCATAATGGAGGATCCTACCCTGATTCAGAGCATACTCAGGAATTGTATGACTGTGGTTTACTAAGATGGAAAGGAACTAAGTTTTCTTGCATACAAAAAGCTCTAATCTAATAATTCTCTCTCTCTCTCTCTCCCTCCTCTCCCTCCCTCCCTCCCTCCTCCCTCCCTCTCTCTCTCTCTCTCTCTCTCTCTCTCTCTCTCTCCCTCCCTCCCTCCCTCTCTCTCTCTCTCTCTCTCTCCTCTCTCTCTCTCTCTCTCTCTCTCTCTCCCTCTCCCTCCCTCCCTCTTCTCTGTGTCTCTCTGTCTCTGAATCTCTGTCTCTCTATCTCTCTTTGTCTCTGTCTCTCTCTGTCTTGATTGTTGTGAGGCCTGGAATACATGGAACAGCTAATTGTTTGCCTCTGTTTTTTTTTTTTTGACCTTTTCTGGTCTTAGGTGAATGATTATTAGAGACAGAATAGACCAGGCTATGACCAGGTAAGAATAAAGGTTTGGCAGAATCCCCAGAAGTACAGTGACAGAAGTCTATGATGCCATCATGCTCCAAAGACCTCACCTACCAATCTATTGTGAGTTGGGATAGTAGCCCTGGTGCTACAAATACAAGAACAGTTTGATTTTTATAATGCTTAATATAAATCCAAAGAGCTAAGTCAGGGGTTCTTAACCTGAAGTCCCCTGACCCTAGGGATCTATGGATAGATTTCAGTGTCCATGAACTTGGATGGGGAAAAAACATCTCTATTTTCAGTAACCTTTGGTTTCCTTTTATTTTATGTTTTATTTTATGCATTTAAGAAAACATTATTCCGGGGCAGCTAGGTGGCGCAGTGGATACAGCACTGGTCCTGGATTCAGGAGGACCCGAGTTTGAATGTGACCTCAGACACATAACACTAGCTGTGTGACCCTGGGCAAATCACTTAACCCCATTGCCTAGCCAAAAAAAAAAAAAAAGAAGAAGAAAGAAAAGAAAAGAAAACATTATTCTGAGAAGGGGTTCATAAGCCTTCACTAGACTCCCAAAGGGCTCCATGATACAATTAATTTTAAGAAACTCTGCTCTAGACAAACATATTTTGACTACTCCCAACACCATTGCTGATAGACACCTGTATAGCAACTTACATATTTGCATATAGCCTTAGTATTTGAATATAATTATTTTCTTTTTAATCTTTTTTATTTTACTTTATAAATTTTTTAAAAATCAAGAAAGGTTCCATAGGCTTTACCAGACTGCCAAAAGTATCATGAAACAGAAAAAATGTTAAGGACCTCCAAGCTAAATGAATCCATTTCCAACTAATCAAGCAAGATTACTGAAATAGAATTTTGTTATACACTCACATTGCACCAAGTTCCACCAGAATGTTCTTCTTGATGTTGGATTGAAGCCAACAGCTAAAATAGTGCAGTGCTAGCTTGCGGAAACCCAACATTGCAAGTAGGAGGATATAAAGCTAATAAATTATGTATATAAGTTAGACAGAACACATTGTTTTAAGAAGCTCTAGTTTGCATAAATTTTTTTACTATTACTTTGAATTGCTGGATAGATCTATTTCTACCCAAAGCAGTGACACACTAGAAACTACAAACAAGATTAGGCAGGTTGGTGGCGCAGTGAATAAAAGGCTGGGCCTAGAATCAGGAAAACTCATCTTCCTGAGTTCAAATCTAGCCTCAATACTTACTAGCTGTGTGACCTTGGGCAAGTCACTCAACTCTGCTTGCCTCAGTTTCTCATCTTACTGCAAAATGAACTGAGAAGGAAATGGCAAACCACCCGGTACCTTTGCCAAGAAAACCCCAAATGGGGTCATAAAGAATCAGACAGAACTGAAAAATGACTGAACAAAAACATAAAACAATATCTTTAAGTAGTACACAGACACTAACATCAACCCCAATTGCCCAAAGAGATTACTTCTTCATATTGTACTATTGCAGGTAACCAGAATATTGGGTACTCAACAGGAGGAAACTGAATATTACTATGAAGAAATTAGACAGCACCTTTCAAAGGAGGTATAAAAATGTGTCAGTATTTCTTACAATAAATACAGAAAAGAAATGATGGTTTTCAAGTTTATCTATTCAATCAGTACAGAGATTCATTAAAAATCATGTTATATAAATTGAGGTAATATTGAAATAGGAAGCTTATGCTATAGATCCATTTTAGGTTAGAATTTCATTAAGAAATCATGAAGAATAATTTAAAAATAGACCAACTTTATTGTTCCAATTTGTTTTCTATTGTTCTAAAGAGCTGAAGTAATCTATTTCTACCTGGTAAGACCCTGAAGACAAAATAATTGGGGAGACTAGATTGATACACTCAGACTGCATAATAGGACTGTAGAACTAGACCTGGAAGGGATCTAGCTATAAAATCTTTTCATTTTACAAATGAGGAAACTGAGGCCCAGAACTGCTAAGGCTATTGCTCTAACTACCTTACATAATTTTTTGAGAGGAAAGAAATTTGTAAACTGCCAAATAGTATTTAAAGATGAGCAACACTTAGAGAAAAACTGATCCTAACTGGAATGTTTTTAATGTTAAAGAGAAAAAGATTGCCTAGTGTATATGCTTTGTTTATGTTGTTGATGTTTGGTCATTTCAGTCATATCTGACTCTTCATAAGCCCATTTGAAATTTTCTTGGCAAAAATACTGGAGTGGTTTGCCATTTCCTTCTTCAGCTCATTTGACAGATGAGGAAACTGAGGCAAACAGGGTGAAGGGACATTCCCAGGGTTGTGCAGCTAGTATCTGATGCCAAATTTGAACTTAGGTCTTCCTGACTCCAGACCTGGGGCCTCTATCCAGCCTCTTGTGTGTAATTACAGAATGATGGATTTATTTAGGAAAGAAGTTGTTGATCTGTGTTTAAGTATTTTTCCCTAATTGTATTTCAATTGTAATTGGTTTCCTTTGTAATCCTGTATATATTATGGTATGTATTTAAATAAAAACATTGTTCTGAGAAGGGGTCCATTGGTTTCATAAAACAGCTAGAGGAGCCCATGATAAAAAAAAAAAAAGATTAAGACCTACTGCCTTAAAGAATCAAGTTTCTGCCCCTTCTACATGTAGTACATCTTGACTCACCATCACAGATTTTCATTTGCAGCAGCATGAAATCAAATCCTCTGCTACAGCTGGCTTCTTACTAAATTCATTCAATGGCTTCACAAACGCTAAGCTTTAAATCTCTCCCCCGAGTTGTTGAGTCTCTGGGAAATTGTAAATGGATGGCTTTAGAGACTGAACAGAAGGTAAGGGCAGGTAAATGCATTAGCTTCCAATCCTCTCCCTGCCTAATCTAAATTCAAGAATATTGATATAAATAAAAAGGAGACTTTGGAAAGCATGTTGGCAATAAGGAAGAAGGTATTACTGTACAAGCCCCTGCTGCTTTATTGACACTCAAATAAGGTTTTCCATTTAAAAAAAATGTAGATTTTCTGAGGTAGACAAATGCAAGAAGTTGCTTATGCTTTCTTCCAACAGGGGCAAATCAATAGTAATTGCCTTTGTAGTGGGAGTTCAATAATCTGTTAGATTTTATGACATGATAGACTTGAATAATACCTACTAAAAATCTTAAGAATTTCTTTTAAAATATTATAGTATGTTGACTCCTCAAAAACTAAATATTTACTCAGGAAAGTAAGATTCATTGACTACTACTAACAATGCCAGTAAAACTTGTTTAAATGAAGTGAGAAAAAAATCTAGCCTAATCACAAGGAATAAAATGAAATATCAACTGAAATTAATGAGTCACAATACCCAACTTATGCTTAGTTTCCCTTCATGCCCCTGAACCAAGTCTAACATAGTCTTCTGTAGGCTAAAAAACATTTGAAATTCAGTGGAAAGCTGAGATTGGAAGACAAAACTGAAAACAGTGGTGTAGATTAATTCAGTTCAGTTTCATTTATTTCAATTCAGTGAATAATAATTAAGTACTACTATGTTCCCGTCTGTCATCAAGTCCTGCTCAGATACCTCATTGTGTCATGATGATGATTCTTAATTTCTTGAGAACTGTGAAATGCCTACTTTTCCATCTACCCAAATCTTTGCAAGAATATATATTTTTTTATTTTTAAAAATAGATTTTCATATTGATATCTCTTGATTTTGCATCCCTTATAACAAAGTCTGTTTGTCTGGGGAACCAAACTGTCCCCTTTCCCTCTCAAAGATACAGATGATCAGTACAGATCATTTATAGGCAAACATCAGCCTCTTAACTCTTGTAATTCTAGTCTTATCAAAACCATGAAAACTGTAACAGTGGCAACCAGTGACACTGACTCTTCATATGCTCATTTAAGATAAGAAAATGTCTATCAGTCTTGTTGGGCTCAAATGAATTTCTACTTTTTCTTGATCTTTCTAAAATAAAATGCTTGATTCAGACTCTAGTGCTTTAAATTCCATATGCTTTAATTCATTCACAAAATGAATAAATATATTGTCCATTTAGTAGAAAGACTATTGGTTTCCAAAACTATATACTTGGCCTTGGGAGCCAAGATGGCACAGTAAGCAGCAAGTTGCTCTCACCCTCCTTTACTGACCTTGAAAAATCCAGAAAATATCACCCCAGGAAAAGCCCTGGAACAGTGGAGACAGCAGAAAGACAGGGGGAAGTCATCTTTTTTAGCTCAGGAGGCTTGGGGGATTAATGGGAAAGGTCCCTCTTACTGTGGTTGAAGGGGATCAGGACAGGATGGGAGGCATCCCAGCAAGCCCCACCTCAGCAAACCAGTGGGAGATACTGAGCCCCAGGGTGGCAGAGCAGGTAAGTGGCAACACCAGGACCCTTGTGTTCATTGGCACAGCCAGCAGATGCCAGCTTCAAGAACCACCATGTGTGCCAGCAGACAGAATTCTATCAGCAGCTATACCCATCCTTGCTCTAGCACAGCTCTGGGTGAGGAGGTGACCTCCAGAGGTCAGACCACCTCCATACCCCACCCACAAAAGAAATTCAGTGTAACCCCGGGAAATGCAGAAAAACCCCACCTGGCCTCTGCATACACCAGCCACCACCAGCAGCTCCAGCTCAGCACCAGGTAAGCCACTAGACCCCTACAGCCTCCAGCTGCCAGCACCTGCGGCCAAAATACAAAGCCAGTAACCAGGGCCCTGCCCCCAGCACAAGACAGAAGCAGATATCAGATTTAAAAACCAGGAAAAAAGGCAAACACCATGAGCAAAAGGTAACAAAGAAAAACACTGACCACAGAGAATTATTATGGTGACAGGGAAGATCAAAACACAAATTCAGAAGAGGACAACACTGTCAACATATCCGCATCTGAAACTTCAAGGGGGAATATGAACTAGTCTCAAGCCCAATAAGCTTTCTTGGAAGAGCTCAAGAAGGATTTCAAAAATCAAATAAGAGGAGAAGAAGAAAAATTGGGAAAAGAAATGAGAAGTATGCAAGACAGAGTCAACAGCTTAGAAAAGGAAGGATAAAAATTGACTGTAGAAAACAATTCCTTTAAAAATACAATTGGCAAAATGGGGGAAAAATACAC